CTCCGCTGAGCACCCGGCGCATGCCCGGCCTGTTAAATAGCCTGTAACCATGACAACTGTGTGACACAAACTCAGTGCTTTAGTGATTAGATAATGTCGGGCTCGGTCGGGTTCGGACAGAAATATGCGGCCCCTGCCGCACTCTAATGGAAATTTTTTTTTTACAATCTAGGAATCGTTTGCAGGAACCGTTACGCCAAATGTGATGGAACTGGTTCCAGAACCGGAACTTTGGACCTGGTTCCAAAAAAGAACCAGATCCGGATCCCAACCCTAGTTGGAGCGTAGAAACATAAGTTTAAGAATGAAGTCCGTTAAAAAAATTGTAGTCGCCTAAATTTCATCTTTATGTTATAAAATGTACAATCTGAGTATGTTTACTCACACTTGCTTATAACATTGAACGCTTTTATTTATGTTTTTTGAACTAGTTCAGTGCTCGTTCAAAACATGTCTGGTCAGATGGGCTGGTTGTTTGGCCTCTGGTGTCAATGTGCGTCTTGGGTGACCCAGTCACACATGGACAGCTCAGGTCTGTGCGTTCACACCTGGCATTACAAAGTGTCTCCACATGCAAGTGACCACTTGTGATCGGATCTAACTTCCCTTACCCTTCTCTTCCTAACTTCTTCTTCTTCGTCTTCTTCGTTTTCTAATACCACTACTTATACCACTTCATCTTCATCTACTACTTCTCTTCCTTCTCTTTCTCTGCCTCCTCCTTCTACATCTTTTTCTTCGTCTACTCATTCTTCTACTATTCTACGACTGTTGCTACTACTTCTACTACCTCTTCTTCTCCTCCTACTACTTCTGCTACTTCTTCTCCCTCTCTTTCTCCTCCTTCTATTTCTACTACTTCTTCGTGTTCTTGTTTTCCTTCTCTTTCTCCGCCTCCTCTTTCTACTCCTCCTGCTACTTATTTTTCTTTATCTACTCCTTCATCTTCTACGACACTACTACTTCTTCATCTACTACCTCTTCTACTTAGCCCTCTTATTTTCCTCCTCCTCCTGCTCCTGCTACTACTACTACTACCACTTCTTTTTCTTCGTCCACTCCTTCTTCGTCTTCTACTACTATCTCTGCTTCTTTATCTAGTACTTCTTCCTCTCCCTGGCTTTCTCCTCTTCCTCCTCCTCCCCCTCCTACTACTACTACTACTACTACTTATTTTTCTTTGTCTACTACTTCTTTGTGTTCTGCATTTACTACTACTTCTTCTTCTACAACTTGTTCTTCTACCACTACTGCTTCTACTACTTCTACTTCTTAATCTTCTCATCCTCATCATCCTCCTCTTAATACTATCACTACTTCTTTTTTCCACTTCTTCTTCTTCTTCTTCTTCTTCTTCGTTTTCTACTATCACTGCTGCTGCTTCTTCTTCTTTTCTACTTCTTGTTCTTCTACTTCTTCTTCAGCTACCGCTTCTATTCTGGTGGCGGCTTCTTCTTTTTTTTTGCACTTAAAAACTTTAAAATCTTTAGGGCTGTACCCAAATATTCGGATATTCGAATATTCGTTTCTATGGGTAGGTATTCGTTATGAAAATTTGGTATTCGATATTTGTTTTTTGTTTTTTTTTTACTCTTTTTTTTAGATATTTTTTTGGTGCTAAATGTAGTCTTTTTATTGTTGGTAAATGTAGGTTATCAGTAAAAATCAAAACTTTTAAATTGCATTGTTAAAAATGTGGAAAATATAGTATAGCCTACCAACAGAGCTTGTGCGCACGGCACGCTTGAGTGCATCCGTCTGAGGCTGTGGATCAATGCCAAGTTTTACCACTTTATCACTATTCCCTTTAACTTGTAGCTGTTTTTTCGTTATCTTTTGAATTTAATATGAATTATGGAACTGTTTTTGTCAACGTTTGTTTCCCCTGTTTTGTACAATAAATTGTTTAAAGTTTCAACAAGTTTCTTTTGGAGTGCGTGACACAAGTGTGTTTTGAAAACGACCGCGGACTGTCACCTGCTCAATGCATCAGTACCTTCGGATGCCATGACAGTAGATTATAGATTAATAGATTATAACAATAATGTCAAAATATCATTTACAGACCGATTTAACAGATGATCACTGCTGCCCGACCCGCAGGTCCATTTGCGGGTCCCGTGGGTTACGGGTCAACCTGCGCATCACTACTCAGCTCAGTCTATAAGGCTGTACACAACAGTAAGGCTATAGACATTATATTCTTTTCAGGCCGGCAGAACCAGCAGCGCATTGGCTCTACAGTGCACGGCACTGCTGATTAACCATTTTATTGCCGCACAGTGTCTGCCAGTAACCAGTTACTTGCAGAGGCTTCCTACAACTTGTTTCAACGGTTCCGATTTAATCAGAAGAGAAATTAAACAGGATGACTAGCCAATGTGAAAATCAAAAGAAAGCATAGAATAATGTACTGAAGGAGACTGTTGTGCCATCACATTTTTTTGTGGTTTGAGAGCAAAGATCCGGTCGCCGCTGTGCAAAACTCTGCAATACAATTAGGTCCGAAAAAACCCCGGAGTCTGCCCCCTGCCGAAGGTCCGAATGTTAAAAAATGGCATTTGGGACAGCCCTAAAAATCTGTTGAATCTGTAGAATCTGAAAAATCTGTACCCACTACCCAGCATGCCATTCGGCAGAGTAACAGCTAATACTGGTCCCTTCTCAATACACTACACAGTGTGTACATTAACGCACTAATAAATATGTCCTGTATATCTCAAGAGCTCTCACTCAACACTGCCATTCCCTCTGTCCTCAGCAATACACTTGCCAAGTGTAAGTCGATCAGATGAACAGTTGTCGAGATTGAAGGACAGACTGACAGAGACTTAGTTGATTTTTAGGTAGATGTTCACAATGATTACTCTTCTGATCAGCGGCTAATGCATGTCCACTCTACAACTTTTATCTGTTTATATATGTGTACTCAGTTGCCAGTTTATTAGGCACAGGTAGCTATGAAATATTGCAGTCTAATACAACAGTCCTGCAGTGATATGATATTGTCACAGGAGGAGTGACATGTTCAGCTTATGTTGAAGGTGTTGATTCAACTTTATTGTTATTTTGTGGTGCCATTATATTTCATCTACCTTATTTGTATCAATGAGTGGGAAAAGCCCAGTAAATAACAGAATACAATTCAGCAGCACAACAAAGTCCAACCTCCAAAATAACTTAAGTTGAACCAACACTTCTCAGAAACAGTTTCAACCAAATCTGAAGATTCACACCTTCATGAAGGTCAGACTGAGGGCTTTAATGGCTGCCATAGTCTTAGCTAAGTGTACCGAATAAACTGGCAACTGAACGAATGTCCTTGTTCCAGTTGATGAAAGCGTGTGGGAGCGTAGCCCAGACGAAGCTGAGCAGGTTGCTCACTTGACAGTAGGGCTGCCCCTGTATAAGAATATTCCTAGTTGACCAATATGTTTATGATATTAATTTAATTTTGAAATGATATATTTTGGGCAGGGCAACACAATGGTTTGAGTTGAAGGTGTGAGAAAGAATAGTATCAGTAACATTGTTAACACTGTGCTACATTACAGAGAAATACAAAACCGTACTAATGAACCTTCATTAACATAGGCCTATATTTTATCTACAAGTGCACGTCACACACTGAGCGAGCCGTCTGTTAATGATGCTGTCGGCAAAGCAGTAATGATTGTGCTAAGTGGCTAATGGGCATGTAGCTACTGACATGTTTCAGATGATGCGTCATGTTTGTCGTCGACCAATGAAGATGGGTTTACATATCACCTTGGGTTCGTCCTTCACCTTCTCAAAATGATCCCACACTTTGGATTTCCTGCCCGACATGTTATTAACTAGCCTGTGGAATAACCGCAGGTACCAGCCCTGGAAATTAACGTGAGAGCGTGGCCACTTCCTGTGTCTGTCCTTTCAAATTAAATTCCCACATGGTCCAGTCATATAGGTTTTGATTTATTTTGACAAGGCGCAGCTCCCAATAGAGTTTCACCTTTTTTTTTTTCTTCTGCGACTAAGCGAACAATGAAATCTTGCCGACTAATGACCTTTCTGGTCGACTGACGTTTGGTCGACTATCAGGGGGCAGCCCTACTTGACGGACAGGAGGCCGAATATGAAAGATAAACCATCAGATGATTCAGTCAAATTCAAACAAGTCCAAATGCAAGCATTATTCATTTGAGGGAATAAAGATATCACTCTGACAGAAAAGGAACTCTTGTCTTTCCCGCTATACAAACAGTCTGACTGCACAGTAACATTGTGAGTGCATTTCCTTCCATTCATGATGGTCCTGTAGCCGCAGTGAAACCACAGAACAGTCTGAAGGTCATGTATAGGTTTGTGAATGCCTGTTCCTCTCTCTGAGAATCAGAGACTTTGCAGCTGCAGTCACAAATCTCCTCACTTCACTTTATATTTAGCCTTTTTCATTGTGTTGTAAGCACTTCTACTACGCACAGCTGCATGAGCGCTCACATGACACATACACAGTCCAGCCCGGCTATGCTAATGCATTTAAAATGGCTTTTGACCGGAGCCTAACTAAAAATCAATCCCGTTCCTCTTCGTCCCGTCACTGCTAATGCTCTTAATGTTGTCAAGGCCATCATGTTTTGCATCCATTTCAGTCGTGCCATTAACGCTGCTCTGAGTGCTCTGCAGTGTTTCTGACTCTAACTTGTGATTTGTGTTTGCCTGTTTTTATTTGTGTGGTTGTTTGTATGCTGACAAAAACATCTATCGTCGTAATGAATTTTGGCACTTAGCCTCAATCATTTGGTGTCCTTTGGGGAAATGTAGAAAGCTACCAACTGTTGAGGATAATTGCTCTTGTTTTGAATGTTGGTCACCTAGTTTTGTGCAGGTGGTCTGAATCAACTGATACTCCTCTGGAAACTCTAGTGTCATAACTGTATCACCTGTTTAAGACTTAAATGAATTAAACTACGATGCTTGCATTGTTTATTTTCTTAGTCGTATTCCCTTTGTTCCCCCAGGGTAAAGCTCACCGAGACAAGCAGCTGATCTACCTGAAAGATCACCTAGACAAATACTACCACAGCCGCGACAGGAAGTGGATAGTGCTGTTCCCGGAAGGCGGCTTCCTGCGCAAGAGGCGGGAAACCAGCCAGTTGTTTGCAAAGAAGCATTCACTCCCCCACCTGACCCACGTCACATTGCCTCGTCTCGGGGCCACCCACGTTATCCTGAAAACCCTGTCAGCCCAGCAGGAGAACGGCAGTGTGGGCGGTGACACTGGGACCCCAAACCAGACGGGTAACTAACACACAGAATACTTCATCTGGGGGGGGTTATGTTTCCCAGATTGTTGCAGGAGTACTTGTAGGATCTATTTGGATCTATAGAGGTTTTCCCAGGACTGGGATGTATTTTTAAGGCCTGTTTTTTTGAGCAATTGTGATGAAAAAGAANAGTACTTGTAGGATCTATTTGGATCTATAGAGGTTTTCCCAGGACTGGGATGTATTTTTAAGGCCTGTTTTTTTGAGCAATTGTGATGAAAAAGATAAAAAAAATCCTGTAAGTTAATATAATGAGAGACCTTGTTGAGATAATGGGTTGGTATCTCAAAATAATGAGAACCTTTCTCAAAATATGGACTTAATATCTCAAACTAATGAGAAACGATACCAACTTATTATTAAATCATTTTTTAAGATGAGTTATTTGAGATATATAAGTCTTGATATGCTTGTCATTTTGATGTACGGAAGTCATTATTTTTAGATAAGTTATTATTTTAAGACAAATAAGTCATTTGAGAAGTCGTTATTTTGAAATAAGTGAGTCGTTAATTTGAGATAAGCGAGTCATTTTTTTCAAGACAAGTAAGTTATAATTTTTTACATAAGTCATTATTTTAAAACAATTGAGTCATTATTTTGAGATAAGTAAATTATTATTTTGAGATAAGTGAGTCGTTATTTTGGGATACGTAAGTTGTTATTTTAAGAGATGCAAGTCATTGTTTTGAAATAAGTGAGTCATTATTTTGAGATAAGTGAGAAGTTATTTTCGAGATAAGTAGGTCGTTTTTTGGGGATATTAAAACAAGTAAGATTTGAGATAAGTAAGTTATTGCTATAAGATACTAAGTCATGTTGAGAAAGATTCCCATTATTTTATGATACCAAATCTTTATTTTAAGATTAAGCCATTATCAATTTAAGATACAGTACAGGCCAAAAGTTTGGACACACCTTCTCATTCAATGCGTTTTCTTTATTTTCATGACTATTTACATTGTAGATTCTCACTGAAGGCATCAAAACTATGAATGAACACATGTGGAGTTATGTACTTAACACAAAAAGGTGAAATAACTGAAAACATGTTTTATATTCTAGTTTCTTCAAAATAGCCACCCTTTGCTCTGATTACTGCTTTGCACACTCTTGGCATTCTCTCAATGAGCTTCAAGAGGTAGTCACCTGAAATGGTTTCCACTTCACAGGTGTGCCTTATCAGGGTTAATTAGTGGAATTTCTTGCTTTATCAATGGGGTTGGGACCATCAGTTGTGTTGTGCAGAAGTCAGGTTAATACACAGCCGACAGCCCTATTGGACAACTGTTAAAATTCATATTATGGCAAGAACCAATCAGCTAACTAAAGAAAAACGAGTGGCCATCATTACTTTAAGAAATGAAGGTCAGTCAGTCCGGAAAATTGCAAAAACTTTAAATGTGTCCCCAAGTGGAGTCGCAAAAACCATCAAGTGCTACAATGAAACTGGCACACATGAGGACCGACCCAGGAAAGGAAGACCAAGAGTCACCTCTGCTTCTGAGGATAAGTTCATCCGAGTCACCAGCCTCAGAAATGGCAAGTTAACAGCAGCTCAGATCAGAGACCAGATGAATGCCACACAGAGTTCTAGCAGCAGACCCATCTCTAGAACAACTGTTAAGAGGAGACTGCGCCAATCAGGCCCTCATGGTCAAATAGCTGCTAGGAAACCACTGCTAAGGAGAGGCAACAAGCAGAAGAGATTTGTTTGGGCCAAGAAACACAAGGAATGGACATTAGACCAGTGGAAATCTGTGCTTTGGTCTGATGAGTCCAAATTTGAGATCTTTGGTTTCCAACCGCCGTGTCTTTGTGAGACGCAGAAAAGGTGAACGGATGGATTCCACGTGCCTGGTTCCCACTGTGAAGCATGGAGGAGGAGGTGTGATGGTGTGGGGGTGTTTTGCTGGTGACACTGTTGGGGATTTATTCAAAATTGAAGGCACACTGAACCAGCATGGCTACCACAGCATCCTGCAGCGACATGCCATCCCATCCGGTTTGCGTTTAGTTGGACGATCATTTATTTTTCAACAGGACAATGACCCCAAACACACCTCCAGGCTGTGTAAGGGCTATTTGACCAAGAAGGAGAGTGATGGAGTGCTGCGGCAGATGACCTGGCCTCCACAGTCACCAGACCTGAACCCAATCGAGATGGTTTGGGGTGAGCTGGACCGCAGAGTGAAGGCAAAGGGGCCAACAAGTGCTAAACACCTCTGGGAACTCCTTCAAGACTGTTGGAAAACCATTTCAGGTGACTACCTCTTGAAGCTCATGGAGAGAATGCCAAGAGTGTGCAAAGCAGTAATCAGAGCAAAGGGTGGCTATTTTGAAGAAACTAGAATATAAAACATGTTTTCAGTTATTTCACCTTTTTTTGTTAAGTACATAACTCCACATGTGTTCATTCATAGTTTTGATGCCTTCAGTGAGAATCTACAATGTAAATAGTCATGAAAATAAAGAAAACGCATTGAATGAGAAGGTGTGTCCAAACTTTTGGCCTGTACTGTAAGTAAGAATTGAGATGTTATTATTAAGAGATACTAAGTCATTTTGAAAAAGTTTTCCATTATCTTATGATGCTATGTCATTATTTTAAGATACTAAGTCATTGTGAGATAAGCAAGTAATTCCTTTGATATAAGACATTTTTGAAATTCCAAGTCTCTAGATAAGTAAGTCATTATTTCAAAATAAGTAAGTCATTATTTTGAGAAAGTTTCCCATTATAATGATTCACAGGAACTTTTTTGACCATCACACTGGCAGAAATGGACCTCCATAATTCTTTGCCTTGACTGAAGAGTATGGCACAAGCAGGGAATGTAATGCAACAGTCCTCGGCTGTGCTTCTTTTCGATTGCATTGTTGGCACCTTAAACTCCAGGCCACCAGGGTGAACTCTCTCTATCCTCAAAATGAACCCTCAGTCATGTTTCCCACATTTTAAAAGCTATAAATAAAGCCTGTCATTTCTAAAAGCAAAAAATCTTCAGATATCATTTTAAATGGCCAGCACAGAATGCCTATTTTTTGGTATTTATTCTTATTTACATCTCCCCTGAGTCACGTTGAGTTTTAAAATGAGACAACAAAGAGCTGCTGCTGACTTTGCTGTGAGGTGTTTTTTAATTGATATGAATTTGGGAAAAACAGGCTGATTTCTAGACAGCCATTGATTTGAATTGTGAAATGGTTTTTAAGTTTATTGTGAGATGACACTTGATTCACTCAAATGAAGTAGTGACTGAATATGAGGGTGTTCTTTGAAGTTGTAGGGTTTTTTCATACTGATTGAAAGCTTTTCCTGGGGAAGTCTCATAAAAGTTTTTTGTCGCTAACTTCAGTCTCTGTGAATCATTTACTGTAGCTCTTGATCAGATGTAGACTTGTGTTGGCTTGAAGGCCAGGGCTGATGAACACGAAGCATTAAATCATCACCTCTGTGTCCCACTGTCCTCTGGGAGTCTTGCTTTAAATGAAAGGGGTTTGCTGGTAAAGATTGCCAGGAGAGGAAAGGGGTGGTGTGCAGAGAGGTGCCAGAAATTGCATCAAGGTCCCTGAAACCCCAGCGGTTATTTGCAGGAGAGTAATTTTTCTGTCTAGAGACCAGCCCTAAATACAGCCAGTGTGCAGGAAGATAACGTTGCAATTAACAACCTTTGAGAGGGAAATTCCTTTTTTTTTTGAGACTTGGTTTTAATTTGCATCAATGTGAAGATATTTAACAAAAGAAAAAGAGGAAACAAACCTTAACAAAGCACGGAAACCAACTGGGGGTGTACACTACGGTCGATCACAGGGCAGGTCCTTACAGTACTAAAATATCTTGAATTCAATTTTATGAATGTGTCCAGTGTGGAGGATAAGGGGGATATATTGGCAGAAATGTAACATAATAAGCATGTTTTTTTTTCATATATAATCACCTAAAAATAAGAATTGTTGTGTTCTTGTTACCTTAGAATAAGCCGTTCATATCAACATACAGAGCGCATCCTTTTCCACAGTCTGCCATGTTTCTACAGTCGAACTGACAGACACTGGCTCTAGATGGGGTCTTTTGTGCTTTCGCGTCAGCCACCTTAATTCTCCTGCATGCTGGGCACATGGGAGAAGTTTCAGTTGGTTGCGGTCTGCAATGTCAGCTGCTAGACGCCACTAAATCCTTCACACCAGACCTTATAATAGTCTTAAATTTAAATTTGTAAGGTCTTAATTGCCACAAACATTTTTATCTCGTTACAGTTATAAACTGTAATAGTTAAAGTGCTTTTCACAACAAAGTTACAAAGTGCGTCACATGGTTGATCCCAGATTTAAAAACAATGCAGAATTCAAGCAAATAAAATGAGGCAATTTTGAGAAAATACAAAGAACAATAAAAATACAATAAATATAAAATGTCATCACTGAAGTAAATAAGCAAAGTTGGCAACTTACTGCCCTATAGATTACACTGAGGTGCAGCAAATCAAATAACTACAGTAATACAAAATAGAGGAATACAATAACCGCTGACAACACAGGATAAAAACAATGAAAATAACCAAATGAGACACATATAATATAAGCAGTGTGCTGATCCACCCTTTAATTTCTGTTTTTCAAAATGAGTCAAGCCATTGTATGTTAAAGTCCACATTTCCGATGTTGGAAATCTTTAAACCTAACACTGAAGCTAATACTGCAAAATGTAGATTAATCTAAATCACTCTGATATCCATATTTCTACTTAAAACCTACCTCTGCACAGGACCACATATATTCTACTTACCTTTTTATTTACCTGCAGTGTGTGAAAAGGATGATTTGTCCAAAAATCACCCTTAAATTTGGTTTAAAATGAACTTGACAAGGTCTTTAAATATATTCAATTTAAGTATTCATCACAAATGCATCACTTACTATGTCCATACAATGTCCAAAGTCTTTGCCATTTTATACCAGTGTTTTGTTATT